CCCGGGCGCCCCCGAGCCCTGCCACCCCCAACACCCAGGAGCCCCCGCCTCCCACATTCATGCAACACTTGGGAGCCCCCCCTACCCCCAACACTCGGGCGCCTCCGTTCCCCGCTCCCCTGACCCCCACCAGGGTCCCGGGCTTGGACTCGGGGTGCTCGGCCTCCCTGGAGTCCCGGGTGGGGGTGGGGCGCCCGCCCCCCTTGACCTGTTGTGCAGCCCTCCTACAGGATCAGAGTTTCTGCACCTTGTGCACCTGTGCGGGCCGGGCGGGGCCTAGTGTTTGTGCGGCCCTCACCCTCAGCCCGCACGTGTGAGCCAGTGTAGAGTGCACGCTACCCACCTGGTAGCACAGCGCTCAGGAACAGTGGGGAGGGGGCCCGGGGACTTGTTCGTGCGCCCCACGAGCACTCTAGTATGCCGGGCCTGGCATTCCAGGTGGTGCTCTGTTGTCTTCAGAGCTTCCAGCGAGCTGCCCAAGGGAGTGCTGCTCTCGGTCTCAACCCCGTGTGTACAGACTCCCAGGGTCTGCAGTGCTCAGAAACTTGGGTTTTGGTTTATTTTCTTCCATTTCGTGGGACACTCTGCAGTTCTTTTAAGTCTGGAAGCTCATGATGGTTAGTTCTGGGGGATTTTCTCTCACTGTGTTCTTTGACACTTTTCTTGTTTTAGTTCTCTGTTTTCTGTGTGTTTGGGAAATACTATTACTTGGGCATTGGACCTTTTGGACCCTATTTCTACCTTTTAAAAATAAAATCTTTATCTCTCCCGTTTTCCATTTTTGTCTTTTTGTTTCACTTTGCAGGAGATTTCCCCAGTCTTTTTTTTTCCTTTATTTAGCATTTTATTTTAGCCATCATATTTTAACCTTCCCAGAGCTTTTTTGGTGTTTTTTTCCTCTAAAATTCAGCAGTATGTTTCTTATTTCATAGATGCAGTAGTGTCTCATTCTCTTTTTCCGTGACCTCACTTTTTGCTTGTTTCGGTCTGTCTGTCCTGAAACGTTGGGTAATCTTGGTTGAGCATATATATTTGAGAGTGGGACCGTGCCCTGTCCATGGGAAGTTCTGTGCGCCTGCTCTGGTGCTTTCACTGTTGGCTGGTATGAGTGGGGCTTCCTGGAGGAACCCTCAGCAGTATTAACTTTAGGTCCTTTTATTGGGCTTTTTATATTTTCAAGGGCTTTCCACTCTCCTGCCTTGTTTTCAAAGTTGGGTAGAAGAATGTGGCTGTGACCCTCAAAAATTAGGAAGTGCTCACTCATCTCCCTTTTCAGGAGGACATCCTGGAGCTTCAGGATTCCTCTTCTGCTGTAGAGACCCCTCGTTGTTTGTTTTTGTTTTAAGATTTCATTTATTCATTTGAGAGAGAGAAACAGAGCACAAGCAGGGGGAGTGGCAGAGGGAGAGGAGAAGCAGGCTCCCCACTGAGCGGGGAGCCCCACATGGGGCTCTATCCCAGGATCTGGAGATCATGACCTGAGCTGAAGGCAGACGTTTAACCGACTGAGCCACCCAGGTGCCCCGAGACCCCTTGGTTTTATCCTGCAGTCTTTTTTGAGGGAAGGCAGGAAGCAGGAAGGCTAACTACTACTTTTTTGTGACTGTGGTGAAATACACAACATAAAATTTGCTCCTTTCATGTGTAGGGAGGTGCATTAGGTATGCTCTGCAACCATCATCGCTCTCTAGTTCCTGAACTGTTTGCCCCCTTAGTGGAAACCCCATACCCATTAGCAGGCAAATCAGACAGTTCATTGCTAGTTTATAGAAATACAACTGATTTTTTTGTGGTGATCTTGGTTCCTGCCACTTTGCCAGATTCTTTTAACTCCCAATAGTTTTTTGTGAACTGTGTAGGATTTCCTGTATATGAGATCATGTCATCTGTGAGTAGAGATAGCTTTACTTCTTCCTCTCCAGTTTGCTGTCTTTTGTTTCTTATTCTTTCCTAACTGCTCCAGCTGGAACTCCAGTACCATGTCAAATGACAGTGCTGGAAGTAGACATCCTTGTTCCGTTCTTGATCTTAGGGGGAAGCTGTCCGTCTTTTACTGTAGAGTATGATGTGAGCTGTGGATTTAAGTAAATGCATTTTATCAGGTTGGGGAAGTTCCCTTCTATTTCTGGCTTGCTGAACATTTTATCATGAAAGAGTGTTGGATTTTGACAAGTGCTTCCCTTCACTGATTGAGGTGGTCATGTGGTTTTGCCTGCTTTTAAACAGACTTTAAGCGTTCGATTCCTCCTGTATTTGGGCTCCAGTCTATACTCTTCGAAACGGAGACAAGTGCCACTGTTGTAACCATTCGGGGGTTCCATGATGACAGTTGGACTGTTTCTCAGTGTTCCTCATTGTAAGCTTGTGATTCAGCTTTTTCTGGCTTAGGTGTGTTTTCGTTTATCCATTTGCAGTCTAGCTTCTAGGTTTCTTGCTGTTGTCTTTTCTTCCTTTTGTTTTGCTCTGTGGTTATGTGCCTTTAGGAAGAAAATCTCTTTTTAGGAGGGGTATCAGAAGAGAGTGGAAGCTACCGTCTTTGTTCAGTGTACCATTTTTAACTGGAAATTCCTGGGTGACCTATTTTCAGAGAATACTGGCATTTGATGGAGTGTCTGCTCATAGCCATTGTTTCCTTGTTCTGAATTTATGATGATCAGATGGTCTTCAGATTCTGAAAGTAGAGCCAATTTGATTTGCTTACAGTAA